ATGTTTTCATCCTGTAGCTCTTCCCCAGGGGAGACCATTCCCTGAAACCAATCACAGGTCAGAGGAGATCTCTGCTTTCATCATTGCTCTGTGCATCCTAAGCATGCCATTTTTGCACTTTTTTTTCTAAGTTTTACAAATCACATTAAATGAGAAAAAAAATAAATTTCTTCATGACAATGTGAGCAGCTTAATTGTTGTCATACAAATACATCAGTAAGGACAATAGAACAGAAAATATTTTACTCTGATGAGGACAGAACAAAATAGCACAGCTCTGCAGAAACAAAGGATGTAACTTTAGCAAAGAGAAGTAATGCAAAACACAATAGGATGCCATCTTAGCTTTGCAAGGCTGAAAAGCCAAAGTTATGCAAAGCAATGCTACTGCACTTACTCAAAATGAAAGTTGAGGAACAGCCACCTAAAAAGGACACTGGACATTGAAGACTGTTGGAGTCTGGAATACAGAGTGTGTGCCCTACTTTCTGATACTTAGTTTTAAGATCCAGAAAAACACTGAATTTCATACAACATGAAATTCATGAGCATGTTTTCATGGTAATACATGAGAACTGTTAAAGTTAGATAAAAAAAGATAAAATTTGTAGATTAGAAAGTTTTTTTAAATCACTGGGTGAAAAAGCTAGTTTAGAGAACAAGAGACAAGATGAAGGATTTAAGGTGTTGTCTCTTGTCCCTTCTTCTTTCCTCTTCATGTTCTTCTCCTAGTAATAGTAATAGTAATAGTAAGTGATTGGACAGAAAATGCCACAGTGCAGCACAGAGGTGATGGGTCATTAAGAAAAATAATACACATGTCTATTTTTAATTGGGTAAAAATAGGTATAAATATAAAAGAACTGCGTAATTCAGGGCCATTTTGTGCATCAGACATGAAGTGTGCCACAAGGCCTTGTTTGTACCATCAGAAAAAAGAAATATACCAAATTGCAAAGATTAACCTTGCGTAGTCAGTCTGGAGAGACCTGTTAAGTTTTGTGATGACCTTCTAATAAACACGAGAAACAAGATTCTAACGAGCTCGGGAGTTTTCTTCATATCATAAGAACTGAGATAAGCAGGGCTCCCCATGAGGGAGGATCCCAGAAGAATTCAGTCCAAAAGAGACTGAGAAATCCAAGAATAAAAAAAAAGAAAAAATACAGAAGAAATGTAGCAGAAACAGAGAAACAGAAAAAGGATTTTTTTAGAGAAAAGTTACAAAGACAAACCCCAAAGAACCATATAAGGACTTCCAAAAAGAGGGTGTGACTATGTAAAATTAATAATAATAATTATAATTAATACACATACACCAAGTGAGCAGGGATAGCCAATGAGTATGTCATCAGTGTGTATGACAAAAACCTCACCGTTTTGAGCATTTACCCAACACTCAGGGCACTCAGTTAGAAGAAGGGTTCTCTAAGTTAGAGGAAGGATTCTCTCCATCACACCTCAATAAGGAATGCTGCTTTCTAATACTCAAAACTGTGTTAGAAAGTTTTGATCTGGCTGATTTCTGTATCAATGTTAAGGCTTTATGGTTAGATTGGGATAATGATACATTACTATATTAGTCTGTCACCACAGACATGTTTGCGCATCTTTGTGCACAGACATTCACTTGTGCATAAGTGAAGTTACATTAAGGTTTTATTGTGGGTCAGCTCTTCCCACTGCTGATGTGAGCAGAGACCCCCTACAGACATTTTGTTCTCCCTTCCATATTTTAAGATTTTTTTCTTTCTTTGATTCTTCCTGATATCATTTGCAATTTACAAGTATGTTTCATGTTATGAGCTGTGACATAGCAGGGACCATTTAAAGTTGGCCAAGAGTATTTTTTTTACTAAATATTGATAGTAAATCTGCTCCTACCTAAGCGGTTGCAGAGCTGGGGCAAAGCAGGGCAAAACACATACAACAGAATGTATAACTCATCAGGTTGGTTTTGCTAGGAGATGGCTATTGAGGCTCTGAGAAGGAGGACACGGGATGCAGGACCCCCATCCCTGTCACTCTCACAGCTGTTTGAGTTCATTGAGTTCATAAGCTGATTGGTGCTTTTCCTCTCACCCAACCAGAACTCAGTGAGGCCAAGAACACTTCAACTCTGATTTCACCTACTTTTAGGTTGTATTTTGTATGCGCTCATTGATATTTTCGAAAAAAACAAAAAAACAACCCACCCTTATTTGAATGGAAAATATCTTCCAGATATTTATCCTATCTTACTAGGAGACAATACTTGAGCAACAGTTTCCCTGTATATGACCTTCCAGCATTCACATATTTGTTTTCTTGTTCTTCCAAGACTCTGTAAATTAATATCATTCCAAGCTGTTAATAGTAATGATCCCTCTGTGAAGCTAAATACAATTTCTAGAAGAGCAGTTGCATATCTACTGCATAAAGACATCTGTGTTTTTTCTTACTAGTATTTCTAATGAAGCAGTAAATAATTGTAAATTTTCCCCAAACCTTTTTTTCTCATCCCATTTCTGCAGAAATTGAGTGTTTGGTCCAGGCAGAACCCATAGCTATTCCATGGCTCCCATCACCTCTGAGTCACATTCCCAGAGGGCATTACAATTTGCATGATTGACTCCCTCTATTGCCTAGCTATCTTTTGAGTAATTCTATGTCTCCTATTCCTTGTCACAAAAACTCTTTTTTCCCTGGGAAGCTGACTCTAAAAAATTTGGTCCAAAAAAATTATCAAATTAAACATAAAATTGGTGAAAAAGGTAAGGTATTTTAACCAATAGCAGAGTGGAAAGTTAGGCCTATCCCAAAATATATTCTTAATTAGATTTTAAACTGCACATATGCTTCAAACAATTGTTAGCTTAATAAGATACATTTGATGGAAGTAGCTATTTTTTCAGCGTGAGGAATTTGAGCTTTTTTTTCCACTTTTCAGTTACAGAGTATTGTAGCCTTACTATGTTTATTTACACTTGTGTAGAAATATCTCCCTAACTTCTGGCGTTTGCATGTTGTTAAGTACATTCATTAATGTATGTGTGTGCCCGATTTTCTGAGAGGACATTAGCAGATCATTAATCATTTGCTTACACTTACTGCTAATTTGGGAATTGAATTTATGCCAGCCTTACCAGAATGAGCTGTCATGAAGCATTAGTCATTTTTTTTGCATTACACTGGTGATAGAGGAAGTGGAACTTCTGGGAAATACCCAAAGCTCTGTTAGTGGTGGTGGCAAGCCTGCTCATCTTTTAAGTACCTCCAGGAATGGTGACTCAGCTACTTTCCCTGTTCTAGCCTGTTCCAGTGCCTGACCACCCTTAAGTGGAGGGATTTTTCCTAATATCCAGTCTAAACATCCCCAAGTAAAACTTGAGGCCATTTCCTCTCATCCTGTCCCTTGAGAGAAGAGACTGACCTCTATCTCTCTATAACCTCCTTTTGTGTAGTTGTAGAGAAAATCAGGCTGTCCCCTGAGCCTCTTTTTCTCCAGGCTAAACAGCTTCAGCTCCCTCAGCTGTTCCTTATAACCCTTGTGCTCTAGAGCCTTTAATGCACTGGCTCTTAAATCTGAATTTACTGTTTTGTGTTTTTTTAAAGAATTCTATCCAATACTTTATCACTTACAAGACTCAGTAACCTCAAAAACTAAGCTGTCAATAAACTGGATAAAATGGGGATTATACCACTACTGATCCTCTTTTACCAATTAGTAATTAGGTCTCCACCAATAATTTCAACCCTTAATCATTGATTGCTAACACATCGTGATAGTAATAATCTGTGTCATGTAGGAAGACTTTCAGATCCTCCACATTTTCTTGAGCTTTATGCATTAATATGGAGGTAGCTTATATTAATTGCACATTTTCCTAGCAATACCATTTTACCATTCAATTACGATTATATTCTTTCTTCACAGATCTCAAGCTCCATCAATGTAATGAAACATTTCCTGCTTGGAAAAGTCATTCCAGATTTATATACAAAAGTAATCAGAGTATTAACTGGTAATTATGAGGTGGACATTTTAAGTAAATTTATTGGGTTTGCATGGCCTGGTTTTGGTAGCAAGAGACTACAGAGGTGCCTTCTATGAGAAGCTGCTGGAAGCTTCTTCCATGTGCCAGTTCCTGGTGGCTCCAAAGATGGACATGCCACTGGCCAAGGCTGGGCCAGTTAGAACTGATGGTAATGCCTCTGTGATGGCAGATTTACGGCCCATGGTGAAGCAGCTGTGCCCTGCAGCCCCTGGGATCCACGGGGGATGCAGAGATCCACCCACAGCCCGTGGAGGAGCTCATGCTGGAGCAGGTGGATGCCTGGAAGAGACTGTGACCTGTGGAGAGAGGGGCCCTGCTCCCAGGCTGGAGCAGTCTGTCCTTGGAGGATTGCACCCGTGGAGAGACTCATACTCCAGCAGCAAACGGGGGGCTGGTGCCCATGGGATAGACGCACATTACAGCAGTTCACAGGGAGCTGTTGCTCCTGAGATGGAGCCATGTCAGAGAAGCTCATGGAGAAATGTCTCCATGTCTCCCACTCTATGGGAGAGACCTGATGGTGCTGCAGGGGAACTCCCAGAGCAGTGGGAGAAGTTTTGGGTAATGAACTGACCATAATAAAAATATTTGAGTCCATTTGCTTTTACAGAACAGTTTTCTTTATAAAAAGTTTTCCTTAAATAGTTTTCCTTAAGAATTGTTTTTCTCCTCATGCACAAAGTGACATTACACACATTTATGAATAATAATAATATCTTACATTTTACAGACTTTCATCAGGATATACTTATTAATCAACCAAAGACCAACTACTCATTCTGTTTTGCATTATATTATGATGTTGGCATGCAGCTGACAGCTAATTGGAGAGATAGACAGAATGTTTAAATATAAAATACATTTCTTCAGTCTAAACAGAAAAGTTGCTCTGCAGTAAGAATCATTTCCCACGCTGAAAGAAGTCAGCCAATTGATTGCCAGGTAAATTTGCTGAAAATTTGTCATACAGTGAGTAGTTTATTTGGAATCAGCATGATCAAATATACACATTGTTCATACAGAATCATGAAGTCACAGAAACTACACAAACTAAAATTTATTCCAGTGCATAATTTCTTAGAAAAAGCTTGTTGCAGAAATGTATTTTCCACAGTACTGGAAATACAATAAGGCATTGTGCATCAAATTGTTATCAGAAAATCTGGGGGGTTTCTGATTTTCTTAGGTGTTTACTTTATTGTTGTTACTGTTGTGGTTTTTTTCCAGAAATCTCAAAATAAATGTGGAAGAATTCATGTGGCAAATTGGAAAGACAGAATAAGATGAGCAAAACAGAGGCCTAAAAAAAATGAAAACGAGAAGTATAGTTTAATGGTGACATTGTTTGATGGTCATCATAGTGGTGATGCTAGGTTGACTTGATGGACTTGAGGATCTCAAAGGTTTTTTCCAATCTTAATGATTATATGAGTCTATAAGATAGGAACATATGATCTGAGCTTTACAATGAAAGTGAAGGAAAAATGTACAAAAAGCAATAAAATGTACTAATAGAAAATAAAATGTAGTGGGGTAAATCTGTACTCCTACTGCCCAATGATACGTTTTTCTTCCTCTTAGCTTGTGGGTTAAATCAGTAAGATTTTTTTTTTCCATTTTATTTTGTGTTGCCCAGTCATTACATCCTGCAGAGATGAAAAATGTTATCACTGTTCAGAAAGGGTACCAGCTGCTCCTTTGCCTAGAATGTAACTAAGAGAAACCTGAAGACTAGTTTTCAGTACTGTTTTTTTCTTTATTTCTTTTTTTTTTTAACAATAAAATGACAGTGCTTTAGCCTTCTGTTTTGGGAGAAGATGTTGGAAAGAATTGTTTATTAGCTGTCTCTATTCTACCCAGCCACATGTTTTCACAAGGAACCAGTATCTTTGAGACTTCTGTCTCCCTTGGATTGGAATGGCATTTGAAAGTAATGTAAAAAGCCAATAGGAGGAGGTGAAAAAGAAGGGTGCAGATAAACAGAGAGGCATAATGGTCAAATATGTCCAGTTCTCCTCAAGAAAATTCCCTAAAATAACTACGTGGAGCAATACTTAAAATTTTTCTATCCCCATATACCTCCTTGCTCTACCTTGTCAAGAAATGTAGAGGCCAAAAACTACTGAATAGCTACATTTGTCTGTAAGGATCACAAGCCTCTTTCTTTTCTCTCTCTGTACAAAGTACAAAGATCCTTTCACATGAAACCAGCACATGCTCTGTTTCCATAGGTCTCGTCGTCTTCCTCTGTGGTCCAGGACATCAGAGCACATGCAGTGCAGAGCATGAACTCATAGCAAAAGTACTTTGCTTCATTTTCAATTTTTTACTGGCTTAAAGAGACAACTAAACAGAAATTTCCCCTAGCAAGAATATCAGCTGAAAAATAAATTAGATAATTAAGTGAGTATTTGCTGTGTATTCTAGTTTGTTGCTTGCTTTTCTTTCCTCCTGTAGCCAATACCTTTTGTCTTATATAACAAGCTATGATTATTAGGCTAACTTCACTCAAAAGTCTGACTCAGCTATTAATAATACTAGAGATAAAGGAGCACTTACTGCTGGCTTTCAGATGGGTTTTAAGTTATTCTGTTCCCACTGAGTCAGAAACTCTTTGCCAAGAGTTTTTGAAATCCTCCATTTCTGCCACTTGAGCTTGTGCCTTTTTCACAATAGTAAGCAGCACATTCAGACCCTCAGAATGCACACCCACACCATGTCCTGCCTGCTCACACATCAATTTACAATTACTTTGTTACTCTGCCAAGCTTTCTTAATTCTACCAGTCATCCTTCCTTTCTGCAATTCAAATGAGTCATGGAATCCTGCGATCTGCTGTAGCGTAAGAAGTTTTCCTACATTCTTGTTGAAAATGGTTTCCCGAGAGCCTCACTACAGGCAGTGACTTTAAGTACTTTCTAAATAAAGTCTTGAGAATTATTTCTATAAATGTGTTTTCATTTAGCAGCTGAAGTACCCTAGCTCCATAATGCATCCCCCAACAATATTTTTGTGTTTTAGCTCCTATTTTAATTGATAAAATTTGGCATATCCTGTTTCAGGACTGGGGGAAATGCTCTTCAACCATGTGGTCCCTTAGACTGTAAAACTCTTTATTTGGTCTGGCAGAGTTGAAGTTAATTTTGCCACAGCTGTCCTTACAGTGCTGTGCTTCACATTAGTAGCTGGGAAGGCATTGGCAACACAGCAGAGTTTTGGCTGCTGCTGAGCAGCGCTGGCACAGCACCAGCCTCTCTTTTCACCATTAGGCTAGGATGAGCAAGATCTTGGGAGGGGACAAAGCCAGGACAGCTGACTCAAACTAGCCAAAAGAATACTTCATATCATGTTACGTGTGGTCAGCAATACAAGAATACAAGCTAAGGGAAAGGAGGAGGAAGTGGGGGGAGAAGACAACACTTGTTAGGATACTTGTGCTCTACAGCAATTGCACCTACAGAAGCTTTACTTCCCTAGAGGTGGCAGGACATTACCTGCTGATGGGAAGTTGAGAATAAATCTATTGTTTTCCTCTGCTTCCACCTGCAGCCATTGTTCCTACTTTATTAAACTGCCTTATTTTTGACCCATGTGTTTTTTTCCACCTTACTTTCTCCCATCCCCCAGTCCCCCTGAGCGAGGAAGTAAAAGAGTGGCTTGCTAGGCACCTCGTATGCAGACAGGATCAACCCACCACAAACTTTTAATTTTGTACAAACTCTAATCACAGGCCTTCTGTGAGCAAACCTAAAGGCACTTGCAATATGTTTCTGCATTGCTTCCCTCTAGACCTCCACTTTTTCCTCATGGCGGGACTATTAACACACAGCATTACAGCTGCAAGGTTGTACACAGGTTTTCAGTTTGCTAAAGCTTGTTAAATTCAAATGGTCATTCATTTCTGTAACAAGACACATCAATCACCACAGGATAACCCTGCCCCTTTCTTCACCTAAAGATTCCTATTAATTGCTTAGAAAAAGGAGTTGATCTTGTTAAATAAATCTACTTCTATTAAATGAGAAAAAATTAAATAGGAAAAAAAGGTGTTTTTAGAAGCACGGTGATTTCACAGGGCTCAGAAACCTGTTTAACAATTTATCCACAGGGAGGTTTTTAGGCTCCTGTTTCATTCAAGCAGATCAACTCTAGAGATAATCAGTCTTCTGCTGCTTTTCTTCTGCTTTCCAGAGTTGTTTGAGAATTCTCTGAAGTAATTAAAATTTAAATCTGTCTTATGCATTGTCCTAAGGGGAGATGGGGAAGGTTTGGCAAAGCCCTTGTCTTAAAAAGGGAGGGGTGCAGATAGTTGAGCTGATAGGAGTCGGGGGATAGTGAGTGCACAAAAGCATCAGGATGAATCCTTACTTTAAGATTAATTCAAAACTAGGATTTGGATGACTACTGCTTGTCACTGCTTAAGGAAGCTCAGAGTCTGTAATTTAGTCTGGCTCAGTGGAGTAAGTGTGGGATTAGGACAGATGAGACACGGGATTGTGTTTCCACATTTTCATTGCTCAAGTGTCTTCAGTTGCTTCTGTCTCTCATCTCTGCCTGTTTGGATCACCATAAACTGTAAGTTCTTTGAAGCAGAGTCCATCTCAACATATTCTGTGCAGTTACAAATCACCATCTTAACACTTTTGTTCATCTACACTGAAGATTTTTCCTACCAAAGATACACTGGTGGCTAGAGTTTCTAAAGAGAAACACCCTGCACATCAATACTCTTGTTAATCATGTTCAACTTATTTTAGCAGCTAAAAAAACAACAGAAAAGAATGTAGATACCAAGTACTCTGATCTTTAAGTTATAACTGTCTCTTAAATCTTGCCCAAAGACAAAGAGTGGAAATTGGATGGATTTTCTTCATAGATAAAATTTCAGCTGCTGAAAACTACTTCTGTCACACGAGCATCTGATAGATGTTGAATACACTCAGTGCGGGCAGCTCGGTGTGCAAGCTGCAGGGCAGGCTGCAGACCGAGCTCTGCCAGGATAGGAGCCCAAGTCTGAGCCTGAGCCCGAGGCAAGAGGTCATGAACTGATGACCCTTTGCATGCCAAAGGGTACAGGGACCTGTGGCACAGCCGGGTGATGGTACACTGAGACACAGCAGAAGCTGAGGGCTCCAGAAGAAAAAGGAGATTTTGGTGTGCTTAGACTGTTAAGGTATAAAAACCTAGGGATTCCTTAGTTCAGGGTCCCTCCTTGGATGCATCAGCTCGAGCTGCTAACTTGTTATTTAGTTATTGCACCAAGATTAAACTATTTTAAGGATCTGGATGTGTGAGACTTTGCTATGGGAAAGTTGGGGTTGAGCCAGGGAGGAATCCTGGTCTGACTGTGAGTGAGGGGTGTAGCTGTGAAGGGGCTTCAGTCCCAGCTCAGGTGGTGTTAATGTGACTGCCAGAGTGCTTCCTGGATGGTTGGACAGGGGAGCTTCCTTCCCTGTTACAATCAAAGGGATTTTTCCTTGTGCCCTGAACCTGGATGAGACTCAGATGCCTGGGCAATGATGTCTCAGGATGCACCTTGGTGATTGATTAAGAACCAGAGAATTGTCCTGAAAAATGATCTTGGGAAATTCTTTCCCTTCTTTTCATGGATGTGCAGACCATGGCAGAGCTACTTGGTGCAATACCATGGCTCTCCTGCTCAGGTTTGCCAGATGACTTACACAGTAACAGGGACAGCATGAAAGTTACTCCTGATGTCTCTCTTGACATTTTGGGGTACTTTGATCTCACTATAAGGAGAGCAGCTCTCTCTATTAACTCATCACCTATTTAGAGACCTGAGTACCAGCTGAGATCTTCAGTATTTTGACACACTGACCTCTTTTTTTATCAAACCTTTAGCCTATCATTCATAAGTAGTTTTACCATCTCATTTGGGTGTTAGGAGATGCATTTTCAAAACATTGTATGTTTATAAACTACAATAAGATGAATTCTACAGACAATAGATACCAGCAGACATCAGCTCATTATTCAAAGCATTACCCCTTTTCTCAGCTAGAAAGTAACATGTTCGGTGATCAAGGTATTTATTTTACTCCTCTTATGACACCAGATCAACTAAAATATCAGGTATAAAATTTTAAATACCTCTTTAGCTTATTAAAATATTTGACAATTTTAAGCTGTCATCTTCTCATCTCAAGCTACTTTTATTATTTTGGAAGATGGCAAGATAAAGACATAAAAAAGGCCTTTTTTTCATCTAACATGCATAGAACTAATATTTAGCTGTTATTTAAAGCTGAATGATGAACTAGAAGATGGCATACACCACAGCTTAGCCAACATTGCCACCCAGGCTACTTTAGGGAAGAAGCCACCCACAATAAAAAGGAGCTACTCTTCTGCTAGAGGTAAATCACATTGCTCAAGGACATAATCTGTACCTACAATGGATACACATGTAAGAGTGCTGTGGGTTTTATTTGGCACAGAACCACCATATGTTGGCTAGAAGCACCAGCAAACCTCAGAACAAAGCATTAAATGCTCAGAACCTATTCACCTCCACAAAGGACCTGCTGGACCAGGAATCTAACCATAGGGAAATGGTGCTGCAAGCCCACTAAATGGGAGCAGGCAGAACCATGAAAAAGGTGAAGATCTGGTCCCATCCAGAGCACAGCTGTGTGGAATGGGCATGTAATAACTGAAAGATGCATTAGGTTAGCAGTGAGTACCTGCATGCCCATGGCCGGGGGAGACAGGGAAGCAGCCTGCGTCACAGGTGTCTGAGTCACTGTGCCTCCTGGGCCAGTCCCCTGAGAAGTGGTTTACAATTACCAAGATCTACCTTTCAGTCATCAAGACAATACAGAAGTCTGAGCAGAGCCAGGGAAGGTACCTGAAGACAAGATGCAGCCAAAGAAGGGTTATGGGGAAAACAAATCCAGGCGGGGTTTGAATAACCATGCCTCAGCATAAACCAATGAAATATTTAGACCACACCTTTTCATTCTTCACCTTTTAATACCTGTGTGGTGGGAGCTAAGCTGATATGTATGTTAGAAAAAAATGCTAGAAGTAGAAGCATGTGGTAGAGAAGAAAATTCCAGCAAAGCCACATGGGAAGGCAGCTTTTGTTCTAGCTAAGTCTTATAAGCACTACTATGCACAGGTGATATGGATGCACTCATGTACTTCATGAACAAAAACCAATGAGCTGGTATGTGGACCAAATTAGAGGGAATCACTCAAATCTTAACACTAGCAGACCAATTGCAGCTATTAGTTAAAATAATGCTCATATTCTGTAAGCATTTCCTACTTGATCTGAGGTTTCCTTTTCTCTGTATCATCACTGAAGATAACGGGGACTTTGAGTCCATACATTACAATCAGGAAGAAAAGTATGACTGCATTAATTGCAGCATGGATTTTATTTCCTGAACTAGCTTATGTCAGTAATGTCAAAAGTCAAGTTTCTGAACTCCACTATCTTACCTCGCAGATTTTACATACCTGAGCTCACAGTGTGTGTTTCTTTGCATGGATGCTTTCAGGATTGTTACAACAGTAAATTATCTGTAAGATGAAAAATTCTCTTTCGTAAATGCAGGAGTTGCTCTGTCTATGGACTGTGCAATCTTCACTGAATTAAGGTTATTTAGTAGGACATCAAAGCTTTAAAGATGATGAGGTCATCTTCCTCACGGTTCTGCCTTGAAAAAAAAATCATATTAGAGAAGAAAGTTTCTGGTGTTTGTTTTGCTAAAATGGTCCCTTTGAGACACTTCCACTTGTTTCAAATTAGGGAAAGCCCAACTGCTCATTTTACAGATGGATGGACCAATGTAAAGTGTTACAGTTCCACAGCAGAGTCAGTGTAAAGGCAGATGTCTTCAGCTACTGATAAAGGTCTTTTGAACTTCCTCATTTAGCCTTTTGCTGGCATGTTTTTGAGGGTTCACAGACCTCTGTGCTCCATGAGACATCTGTAGAAACAATAAACTAGTTTAGGTAGTAAGCTGTCCATCCACCGTCTGGACTGTGCCAAAACAGCTGCTCAGAGCAGCCATCTTCAGAAATTCCATCTAATGAAGCTTTTGAGCTTCCAGCTCAACTTTTCTCCATGTATCTATGTCATTAACAATCCAACATGAACAGTCTTTTCAGCTTGCTGCTCAGTGTTCAGATTTAATGTGGATATACAGGGAGCATTACGCAGAGCTGTACTGCTACAAAACACACAAAGCCTCAGAGAATCCACAGGTATGAAGTTGGGTGTTTTAAGGAGCAGTAAGAACCAACTCTTAACTTCCAGTGCTTGAGAGTGCAAATACTTTCATACTACTTAAGCAACATGAACTGTCATATTCAGAAAGCAAATATACTGCACGTAACTGTAGTCAAAGAAGAATACTGCAACACAACTGACACAGCTTTTTATAAGCAATTCAGTAAAGGAGAACAGTAAGATCAAATAGAAATAATTGCCAAGAATTATTATTAAAAGATTTTGTACATTAAAAGCAGAACATATGCCTACAAAAGAACAAGAAACACATGGTCAATTTTAGTCGTATTATGGTATTATGGCTACTCACTGAAGCCATAAATAAAGTTAGCTACAACTTCACCTGAAAAACTGTAACTTCAACTGTTGAAGTTACAGCATCACTCATGTCCTTCTTTCTCTCTTTATATCATTATTTTCCAAGTAAATTTATTTTCAACATGCTCTGCATTTTTACCTCTATTAAGGTTTCAGCCTTGGCGACAAACATCCCAACAGTGCACAAAGATTGCTAGCACACATCAAAGACAGTGTAAAAAAAAAAAAAAAAGGTATTTTTTAAAAAAAAGAGTTTAAAAAGTGTTTAAAGCTGCACAGAGAGCACACTCCAGCTGAAGCATGGGTTCAGCACTAGCTGCTACTGCCTTAACTTATTGGGAATACCCACTTATTTCAGTGTACAAAGAACTGCCTCAAGATCTTAGCAGTAAAAATGTAGGACATATGTCCAGTGACAAATCTGAGCTTGCATTTACTAGCAGATTTGTGACAGTCTTTTTCTAACAGGAAGGTAGCACGGAGTGGCATGTCAGAATGGTATGTCTGAGTAGCCAAGGTATCCAGTAGATAAAGTTGCTTTAAAGAAAATAGGTCAAACACTTTTACAAGCAACTACTTCCAGTTACCAAGACAGAGGCTGATTTTGAAAGCTATACAATTTATAAATATATATATATATATATATTTGTAACTACCTATTGAAATAAAAAATATATTTAAAATATAAAAACTATTGATGTGTCTCAAAATGTAGGATTATGGTATGGTAAAACAAATGTTCCTCCTAAATGTATGAACTTGTAGCAACAAGAATAACAACACAGATAGGAAAAATTTAACTATTAATATACAATGAAAGTTTTTATCTTTTTCTATCACTTGAAGCTCTACTTAGCTTGCAGTTAAACGTGAAAACTTTCTATGTGTATGTACTTAAAAAAGAACTATTTTTCTTTTTTGCAAAACGTGCAGACATATTTTCGGATAGTGAAAATATAACCATTAATTTGGAGCACATTAAATCTATAATTTATTTGATTTTCTTTTATTTAAAACAAACCTCCTTTACTTAGTTAAAAATATTCTAAACTGGGAATTTTCATGTAGATTAGAGCTAGATTTTGGGTTCATTTTGCCGTTTCTGGGACTCCAGGGCTAAGCAGCCCTTTTTCGCTTCAAGTCGCTGTTTCATAGGATGCTTCAGGGATTTTGCGGTGCACTTTAGCTCCACCTCTATTGGCAAATTCATGGATTTGAACGGGGAGGAAGCCAAATTAACCACTGTGTTTCCAGAAATGTGGAAGGGTGGTCCGACTGAAATATAGACTCCCCTGAAAGCTGTTTTCAGAGACACCAAGCCAGGGCTTGGCAATCCGAGCACACAGTTGCACCTTTAAGCAGACGAATTATTTCAATCACACACGCGGCACCACTCCGGCTTCACGCAGCGGAGGATCCCAGAGCCGCAGGGGAGCGTGCAGGTCGGAAGGATTTGGAAGCAAGCAAGAGGGGCGCCCTGCTTGCGAATGTGGCGGCACTGAGCAGGGCAGGGATCTCATTCCCCTCACGCTCCGGCTCCCCGGAGCCGCCCGCGCGGC